GGTCCGCCAAGATGACAGCGTATCCAAGGGGAGCCGACCAGCCGACCAGTCGCCTGATGGCATTGCCTAAACATGGTATCACCGCGTCATTATCTGTCAAAACCTGTCCATCAAAAAGTTGGATCCACTTCGGCCAAGTAGAAACATAGGGTTGGTGAGAGAATTGTCTAGGGTTCTTGTCGAGAGGCCAAAGAAGTGTCCAGGGTTGGCCTCCAGGGGTGTAGGGTTGAGCAAAAAAAACTCAACCCTAACATCTAGGGTTGAAAAGTCTCCCCATAATAAACAAAACACAAATTTGTGCCAGCATAACTCCTTATTCCGTGGGCTCCCCGCATCCATGTCTTTGTCACTGTCCAATTTTCTCCCTTCATATCATATTACCTTGTCTCAAACTCCCCACTATCTATGCTCAGTATTGCGATCCAAATTGACTTTCCCAAATTTTTGTAATATACTAACAGTTGTGTTTGTGATATTTACAAACCATACTGCTGCTGTACCATTCACAAATGTCTATTCTCAATTTACATACATGAATTCCAGTCATAGTACCCTCCGTACATCATCCATGACTGCCATGCACAACCCCTTTCATCTCCACTACATCTCTGTACATGATAGTTGGAGGAGGAAGGGGTCCCCGTCTGGTCGTCCCACACCGCAAATGCACACCCAAGCCTCGTTACGAACCACGACCCTTTCATGTCGTCATTGGAGGCTCCCCTCTCGCTCCGTGGTCCCGTACCACCTTGCGCACACTCAGACTCTCATCCATGTCTTCTCATGGTTCCTCATAAAGTCGGCATGTGGTGGAGAAGTCATCTGGAGAGGTGCTATATGAGTGAGATTGCGGCGAGAGCATGAAGAGAATACTCACTGAAGGTCCATAAAAACTGTCCCAGCTCGCCGTGGTGGTTGGGTTATGGATGCAGACGGATGTCGCCGGAGAACTCGGCGATGCAGAGGAGGATGCCATCTCCTGTGGGGGTCCCGGACCCCACCGCAGACACGAACCTCCCCACGAAATTCACCGTCGTGTCCCGTCGTGGTGGGGAAGTTGCCCTCTCGCTCAGTGGTCCCATACCGCCATGTGCAAGCGAAGAGTCTCCGGCTTCTCTTCTCGACGTCCATCAGAAAGCATGCATGCGGTTCAAAAGTCGTTGGGAGGGGGGGGGGGATATTTGGCTGAGACAGCGGCCACAGCAAAAAATCGACCTGGAAGACAGTAAAAACTGTCGCCCGTAGTAGTGGCGGATGTTCTACAGATGGAGAGGATGTCGTCGCCATGCTTGATGAAGCAGAGAATGTCGACTGTTCATGTAAAGGCGGGTCAGAGGGCTTGACATGGCTTGAGACGGTGATGACGGCGGAAAAATGATAGCGAAGACCATATTTACGGTCCTCACAGTTGCTTAGGGTGCTTCTCGTACTGTTGCAGTCGTCGTCTGCGGGCTTGAAGCTCTAGAGAATCTGACGTCGCCATGAGAATCGAGGAAGGGGGTAATACCATGAAAAGTCGTCGGCGGCATCAAGACGACATCGACGACGACCAATGCAAGTATAAATTTCATAGCCTAGATAATAGTCGTGGGGAGGCGTCATTCCCTGGGCACTTGAAGCTCCAGAGAAGTCGCCGTCGCCGTTAGAGGCAAGGAGGATGGTACTGGGAGAGACGGCGGCGACACTGCGATGACGATGGGCTTAGTGACGGTCTACGGCGCAGCCGCTGCACCTCTGAAAGGCATTGAGATCGTCACCGCTGTACCTGACGCGCTGCAGAAGTCGTGGTGGGTGGAACTGGGGAAATTGAGGGAATCAGCGGCGGCAGCGAGCAAAGGACATAGACGGGGGCTCTAAAACCGGTCCTCGCCTTGTCTTCCAGTGGTCCTGCTGCAGTGTATACCGCAGGCGTGATACTGGGAGTTGAGGAGAAAAGTCGTCGCTGATTTTGAAGTGGGGTGCAGTGCCATGGGAGTTGTCCTGAATTCGCGGGGGAACGGCGAGCCTGGTGGGCATGGGGGAGGGTCGACAACGTCCGTAGAAAGTTCCTTCCGTGCTGTAAATGAGCTTGTTAAGATCCTATGAAAATCCGTCAGCTGTAGCAATAAAAAAGAGATGTCCACGCACCAAAATTCCCAATCGACACCCACATCGATTTCGCACTCCTGCCACCTCATGGGCACCAAAAAACACATGCCAGGTCGAACCTGACATGCTTCCAATCTTGCAGCGAGTTCGCCTCGTCGCCAGGGAGCGAGGCGACGCGGCGGCGGGTCATGGTAAGTGCCAAGTGGCAATTTTCCCGGACCTGCCACATTGGGCGTCGTACCCACGTGGCTGTTTGCCGTTTTGCTGCCGGTGATCTCGCGGTGCAGGATCATGATGGACCTGCTCCCTCCCAGTGAGCAGCAAAGCACACGGCTCAGCGGAGGTGTAGTCGTGGTCCTGTACCCCCGATAGGAGAGTGAACCTTCTTGAATAAGCCGTCTTCTTGTACCCGCCCGTTTGATATGACTGGGTTGATACGATTCGTCGCAAATACCCCAAACACCGAGGTAGGGATCATTACCAGTTGTCCGGCGAATATGAGAGAGTTCTTCTCTTCTCGAGGCGGAGTGATCCTCCCTACCATTCAACTAATCCTGATGAGAATCTACCGCAAACTGTGGCAGGGGGAAAAACTGATATACACGGCAGTGTCATCCACTCTCCCTGTAGACAAGTCTGTACGCAATCGATTTCTTGTGATATTCTTGCTAGCGCCGAGATCTTGTGGCTGCCGAGACTAGTTTTTAGGTGTCCTCCTAGGAGTCGATATCGGGTTCCCATAAGCGAGACACGCTTTTGTACTGCGAGAGAATTGGGGTGGAAGGGGAAATGATGGTGCCACCGTAATGAATCATGATCCGATTGCGATATTTTGCGCCTGAGAAGATATCGTCGAGTATTTGCTGCACGCTCCCTGACGTCGACGTTCTGAGTTCACACTGATGAAAAGCAGGATAAAAAGAATGAATATCATTCCAAAGAGTCTACATAAGGACCAGACCGCTGCTCTCTATCATGAACCCATTCGTCATGATGATGAGCTCACCGGTTTCGCCTGCGGCAGGGGGTTAAAAGAAGGGCATGGATGAATCCCGGAAGGATGGCGTGGACTTGAGCTGGTGTAAGGAAAAGGAAAGAATCATCAGTAAATGGGAGGGAGGAGAATGAAGGATGCATACTGGTACCCTTAATTATGCAAGTCACTCGGCGCCTTCGTCGGGTTAGGCGACGATTGATGCATGGAGACTCAGGGACAACCTTGTCATGACCTATAACGTCTCCGACGCAGCAGGGCATTTCGGAGAGGTTATAAGTCTTGACAAGGTTGTCCCGAGTGTCCATGACGGTGATCGTGCCAGAAGATACCGTTCATATTCGCCCACAGGATAGCATGTTGGTCTTCGGTAGGTATCGGAGTCGGGACCACCGTGTATAGAGGAGAATTTCGTATTGGTTTCCATCGTCTATACAAAAACGTAGGACTTGAGTCTAAGTTGGTAAGAGAGAAACTGCCGACTGACCACGATGCGTCTACGCGTTCGAAAAGGTCTATGCATGACGGTCCTGGTGGAGACGATGTGAACGCCAAGGTCGGGCTTCCCGGAGATGATTTTGCAGTCAAAGGTGCGTAGGTGTGCGCGCCCAGCGAGGACCGGGCTGCCAAAGCTGGATTCGGCGACGGAGTGGATGATGGCTCAATCGGAGCTATGACCGGCGCTAGCGAGGCGACGTCTTCAATGATAAACTGAAGGAACAATTAGCCAAGGAAGTGTGGAGAGGATCACAACTCACCTTGTAACATTTCTCCGTGGACAGATTGACATTCAAAAACCCGAATTCGCAGCAACGCGCGGCTTTGAGATCATCGTGATCTTGATCTTCGAATGATATCAGCCATGGATGGAAGGAAATGACTTCAGTCCAAGCCACGTACCAGGCCCTCCCTACCACACGACACCTGAGCGCAATACATTCTCTCGGCAACCCGCCTCCCTGCGATAGGCTGAGATCACCGGCTCCTGAATCTCGATATCAGCCGTTAAAGGCGGTCAATTTCACTCTAGTCCACGTACCTATCGACACCTGCCAGCCTCAGTTTACGATGCCCTAGCGAAACATGTTCTCTCCGTAAGCCGCCTCTCCATTATGCTCGCTATCCAGGCTCCTAATGCGTCCATCCTGCCGGTCGTGATACGTAAGCATTGACGCAGGACATTTATCATGCTGGAGCACATACAGTGATGTTGAAGGTGGCGGACGGTAGCTTAGATGACACGGATGAGGAAGACAGGCTGCACAAGTGGTATCGATAAGTGCTCGATGCTGATAGTCAAATTCAGAACTCGTACCCAAGATACTCCGGTGTACTCCACATCATCTCTATACCGCCACACCACAGCGACACGACTTACAATCGAGCGCCGACGTTCATTCCAAAAGTGTGGTCGGTACCAGCTCCAGCAGACAAAATTTATCGCAGCTCGTCCCAGAAGAATGTAAGCCGTGGTCGTGCACCCGTCATCCTAGCAGCATAACAGGTGCGTAGAGCGAGAAGGCGATCGTGATGTGGATGTGGAGTACGCCGATCCTCCACTATCGATGAGAAGAGTCCCCCGAGCACTTCAACCATGGCAGTCCCTTGCCCTTGTCGGTGGTCCTCGCGTTTCTATCATCTTGGTCGGAACAGCATCGAGAGTGGTTGGAGAGTGGATAAGACAAGTGGATTTTCCCACGGAAACACCCAGAGGGCCCGTGCACGCAAGTGTCTGGGGTACCTGCAATTCAGTCTCCGACTTGGGCGTTCTTCCTCGCAACGTTACCAGTCCCTTCATTGCACCCTCAATTCCCTCTCTCCCTTCCCAACAAATGGCGCTTTTCTTTTCCTAGATCTACCGGTACGAGACATCGATTTTCAGGCCTCCCTTCGAATTGGGAAAGACTAGCAGTGGGAAGGCCGTCGTTGAGAGGACTATTAGGACAAGTCTGCCAGTCGGGATGGCTTAGTTTTACGGATGCCGGTGAGTCTCAACGCCTTTATCTCTATTTCGTCCGTTTATTCTTCTTTTCTCTCGGATTCTAGCTCTCGGTTAAGCCAATAACGGACACCGTCACTCGTCCAAGGTTGCGCAGCGCTCTGTTTCTCTTATATGATTCCATCTCTCTTCTGGAATCTTCATCGAGGTTCAACGTTCAAGTGCCGTGAGGCCAAGAGCTGATGTGGCTTTATATACGTCCGAGTAAGTCCTTCTATCGGTGCATTTATACATTCGCTGACTCCCAAAGCAGGATTTTGTCATATAAACCATAATATAAATTTTTATTTTCTCGTGCTCCACATCCACAATACGTGACCATAAGTGAGATTATCGGTTTCGGGTGCGAAAGGACCTCTTGTCTTCAGTCAGCTTGCGCTGTTTTTCTTTCACGGAGGTCGATACTACAATCTCCGTGCTTCGGGTGCCACCGCCTTCGGCGACCTATACCTGTGCAAGCTAGCTAAACGACAGGATTGCCGTTCTCTCAACCCCATGAGGGTTCATGCATTCGTTCTTCCTTCTATGATGGTATTAATCTAATGCAGTTCGAGCACCCCACCCCGTGCATGAATTCTCGTACACCTGTTTCATGTCTTCCTTTCTATCTTGCGTTCGGATCTAACGGTAGAACTTCCATAGATCATCTACAATCCCGGCGCGCATCAAGGTCGACACCACCACCAGAGAACAAAGGCCACGATGGTAAGATAAAATGCAGCAAGCCTCTCCAGCAGCGTATAGTCGGACGGCTATACAATCCCATAGCAGCACGGTTTTATTTCTACAGATGTCCCATCTAAAGAAGTACGCCTGTTACCTTGAATGCCATGCTGACAATATCATCACAGATCAATCACTCGACTGTACCCTCTGTGATTATGCGATTGCAGCACGTTACAGTCATCGGTTACGCGCCCGACATGCTTACCAGAATTACTCGTGCACATCTCTTTGGCGCTACGTACGTGTAAGGCTGCATCTACACATCGCGCTGAACCTGCGTAGAGATGAAGACGACGTCCGGACCAAAACCGAAATTCTTATCAAGGAACGGCGCCAGGAATTACAAACAAGGACTCAACATCCAGGTATGTTCATAAAACCCTGCCTTTTCTCCTCGTCTTGACCTTCTACTAGCAAACGATCTGGAACAGATAAGCCTCGTCCAGCCCAGAGACGTCGTCGCAGTATCAGCACGAGGCAAATCCGAATCCCAAGCCCAGTCTAGACAGACCCCAAACGCCACGTTCATGGACCGCAAAGACGACAACAATACCGTCTTCTGATGCTCCCCGGGAGGCACGTCTTCATTTCGAGGCGATCATGGAGCACGTCGCCAATACAAATAGATAAGCGAGAACTTGAGCACCTGAACATCCGCTCTAGCTTCTTTGAGTCAAGCTAACTTTGGCAGCCGAGAGAAAGTCGTATCGCTTGTTCAATGACTACCGTGGCCAGTGCGTCATCGACCAGGCGAACCCAAACCGCGACTTTCTGCCTGGTGTACCACAGAACAAGAGGCTTAGTGAATCGACACGGAGATAGGCTCGGAAAACATACCGCTACTTCGCCTCGTATTCCTGCCCAATTGACGCGATGTTACAGGAACTGCAAGCAGCGGAGGATGTACTATGGATCGCTGACATCCCCGTCCATCAAAAATCAATTTCGCCTATAAGTCCGCAGGATAGTTGTTCCCCTCCTATCAGCCGGACGAATTGTACTCCCACCAGCGAGGAGAGATCTCGAAACAACTCTTCCACGACCTTATCTACGCTATGTGTTCGGCTATTAGACGAGCTCTCCTCCGCTAGGGGAACCGCTGCGTTTACGCCGGCTTATTAGGTTCTTCTCCGGGTACCATATCCCGACAACCCGTTCTAACGGTTCTATTAGGCAAAGCCCGAGAGGAAGACACCGGTCGGGGTAACGCTGTTCACGCACGCCTGTTGTGACCGCAGCATAGCGAATCCGGTTATCAAACAAAACAGCTTCCCCTTTTACCCAAATCTTCTCTCGTTTATATTGCATGTCCAGCCCATCAATTGGATCTCCGCGGTCTTATTATCGCGACACCACGTCGCAGAATTCGTCCTTGTGTCCGTCCCACCTCAATCGTGGCCTCTTTTCTGTATCAAATCCCAAATCAATTGCAAGTCTAACTTCTTGTCATAGACATTTAATTCCTGATCCCGTGTCTTTTAGACGTCATTCGCATGTTTTCTTGAACACGGCGTCGCAGGCCATTGAATGCGCTTGATTAGCCTTTGTCGAGCCTCTAGTTAGCGAATGCCAACGTTCCTCTTATTGACATGAGTTGGTGTTGCATCATAGGTGCAAGCGAACGTCTGGATATCGTGACCGGGCGATATGCACCTCCCTTGGAGTCTGTAGTCCAGCACAGAGACACCTCTATTCCTCTGTCTGAACGGTTTCCTAGTGACCAAGGGGTTGGACGTATTCCTTCGCATGCATATCGAGAAAGGGAGTTTGCAACATACAGGTGTACAAGTACGAGTACAAATTGCCGATGTGACTTGTTGGTATGTCCCCTTTATTTCCTTAGCCGTGAATTTTCTCTTTATCTCGTCAGCTAGACATGCATAATAGAGGAAAACCATCAAACAAGGATTCGATGAAAAAGAGTATGCGTGTTTCATTTCTTCTCTTTCTCCCCCCTTTCTAATCTCCTTTCGCCTGACCGGTTGATCCTGCCAACATCTGGGAGCCACCGATTATCGTCACCTTAGATACCATTACCTAGTAAAAACAGGCCTGCACCTCTCGTTGCCACTGCCGTACGGCGCCTAGTATCATGACCTTTTGTAGTTTTCAAATGCAACATTGGATGAAACATTTTCAAAGGCCAACAATCCTCGTAGCAGGCGTCGAGCCGTCTGTTGCTCATCGAATGCTGTTGTCCATTCCAGTTGTGCGTATACGACGAGATGAAACGAAGCGATCAAGCATGACTACTGCGTCGCTTCTCAGTTTATGCACGGTTGAAGCGTAAACAACTGGGAGAGAAAAGTCACCTACTGTGTACAGCGCGTACTGGCCTTCATAGCACTTGTTCCAGCATCATCGTGAATAATAATGCTGAGGTACATCCTCCGTCTTTTCATTCTTCCAACGCAGTTCTATTTTTTATTTCTAAGTCCCACTGTTTGCTTTGGCATCGCAGGCGGAGGTTTCGACGTAGGGTTTAGGGTAACCGTTTCGTCTTTGAAGCAAAAGATTCAAGGTACAAACTTGGCAAACAACTCATCGACGGTTGCTCTCCTTCGGACACGTTATTTAAACATCTTTCGCTTAATCATCCCCATCGCCCAGGGGAAGTCGACGGGTCGTCCGTGTCATAGTCTACTTTTATGGATCTTCCGACTCCTAATTTAAAGCAGCAGAGGCTGCATAGCATCAGGGGCCTGGAAATACACATTCTGCTTTGACGGTTTCCGAACCAAGTGAAGGTTTTGGATCAAAACGTTGCAGTATTCTCCGTGCCTTTCCTGCGTGTCCATCAGAGAAGACGTTTACGAAGTCGAATGCCTACTCTTTTTACCTCTGCGACCTGCGGATATGGAAGAAGATGACCTGGAACTATAGCAAATTTCGCAAAATACTGTCTTCTGTCACAGAGAACCCATGTAGGCAACTTAGTAGATATCTGTTCTGAACCAGGGCGGACATTGATGTCAGCGGAAATTAAGTGATTCTCCTCGTCACAGGGCGATAAGTATTCATGCTGTCTATCTACTCTGGACTTATTGACTAGAGACCAACTAGCATCATCGCGCTCCATCAATACCCTCGTCAGGGCCAATGCATCATCACTTTGGTACGCGACAGAGCTGATCACAAGAACGCGACGCGGTTACCGCAGCTTATGATCTCCAGCAACGCAGATCACCTCCTGTTGTCATTCACAGTTGCGATTTCATTGAGCCTGCCATGCGGTCCGTTGACAAGAGGATTGTGCATACTTGTTGATGGCTTTTGCACGATTGTCTTGGATACTGATGACCGGCGTGGAATTGACTAATGCCTCAGCTGCCAAGTAGATGACAAGGACAACGCCCCTTAGCTTGTTTTCGTGAATGTAAATACGACCATCAAACTCACGAAACACGCTAAAATATCCGTCATTAACTGTTCTAGTAGCATACAAATAGCAATTACGGACGGCGACATACTCTTCAGTGAAATCTGCCGTCGCGTATCATAGCGATTTATTCGACCGCATGTTTTTCAATAATGTCAGGGCCATGATGATGTTAAGATGAATACTGCCATATGCTGCGTCTCCGCGATGAATGCATTCTTTGTAACCCGTGCCTTCCCTGGTAGTATACTATGTCGCAAAGGTTTGGGAATTGGAAATGGACCTGGAATTTCAATTCACACAATGGATTCGAGCGTTTATATGCGTTTATTGAATGTCATCGAACACCATAAGGATATGATGTAACTTATATTGAAAAGTCATCAAGTCGCTCAATAGTTTGCCCGTAAACCTGATTATCAAAATCAGATCAACCGTGAAACCCTTTGAAATTGCATTTACAGTAGCGCATGTGATATGACCATAATGTTCACAATCCATGAACTACCATCATGTTGTATGGAGGAATCTGAAAACTTACGTTCGTGAACCACGTCCAAAAATCCTTACAACCAATGGGGATAATCCATTCGCCATGGGTATACACGGTTGATATCCCGCCTATAAAATCGCATGTAATCAGCACAGCTCCAATGCATGATTAAACAGACGTTGATAGCCAAGCAACCAAGACCCTCCTAAGAATGGGACATGGACCCCGAGGGCGGGTGTTTTCAATTAACGTGGACGGCGGATCAGGAACTGCGCTCGATCACTGTAATCAAGTCATCGGAAGAGTACTGTTCGTTCGCGCAACGTGTTGCAACGATAGATGGTTCATGTGGAGCCCGACACAGAGGAGAGTCTACGTTATGGTGAAGTAGATGCCAGGTAAGTCAAGCAAGCTGCCGATCAAGGAGAATGCGGTGAAGTCGATATTATGGGAAGAACATCAAGTCTCTGCAGACTATCGACTAGCCGAGCCATGGTCAATCATGTTATTCCATGTACATTCACCCTCAAGGGCTCATGTCAATTGAGCACACCGTGAACATTCCTCTAAAGTCGACTTCACAGTGATGCCGTTAAGGTACCTCGTCGATCGGAGGATCTTCCGTGTACCAAAGCCCGAACTTAGGATCTTCTTCCTTCGGACATAACGGGGGAAGTTTCCCGAACCTCCCCCCCCCCCCCCCGATGAAAGGGGATTCAGAAAGTTTCCGAAAAGATGTGTTACATGTGACCCTCTGTTACTATCACGCTTTCTGCGGCGTTGTTCGGCCGATCTTGCCAAGGATTCTGACTGTGAGAGAAAATGCGAGCTGGTGGCGGTAGAATGCCGCCACCGAGCGAGTCTTTTTCTCTCAGCAGCAGCAAAGCCACCACCACTGAGTGAATCATTTCAAGGGGTAGTACTCTCTCATCCATCAGACTACTATTTTGAATGCTGACTATTATTGATTATGACTTTGAGTTTTTTCCGCAAGCCAAGATTTGAATAACCCTTGGGCCTTGATTCAATCTCTCCTGCAGGAATTATAGCTAGTAAACCTCGCAGGATCAATCAATTATACATAAACTTGGTTTATTATAAACCATCATATTAATAAAGAACAAGGCTTCAAGAGGGGTCAACGTAGCAGCTTTGCCCCTGATGTGGGCCTTGCAGGCGTTATGTAGATTTGTACGCCATGAACGACAAGACGTTTCCTGTGTGGCCGGCCAATCAATTTATGGACCCCATACCATGATTCATGGCCGAGTGGCGCCAGTATTTCATAGCTTGATTGATGGTCTGGAGGATAAGCCGAAACGACTATGACCCAAAGCAACGTGTTTAAAAACATTTTCTAGAGCTAGATCCGGGCATGGAAGACATCCCATAGAGGAAAGCGAAGAGACGCGAGTTGTGTGCCTTCATTTCATACAATAATACCGCGAAAACAGCCGCATAGCGCTCAAGCACCCACCAGTACCTCCTTGCCCGACAAAAATCAGGCACCAACACGGAGCTGATGATTGCATTTTAAAAGGGTCCCATCCCCGACGATGGCCTATCACGAATACGAGAGCGTCTTAAAAGCCGAGTAGACCCTGTCTGGCCCTGGCTTAAAATTAACGCTGATAACACATTCATCCTCCGTGATAGAAACTTACCTAAATTCACTTCGTTTTGCTCTTTCCGAGGGTCGGTGAGACCGGGTATCTAAGAGCGGTACCGTCATTCACGCCGGCACTTTTCTCCAGTCGCGCCTAAATATCTAAATGAACTGTCAAAATCGCCTGTCCTGGAATCATATGCAGAGAGAAATACTTCCCAAAAATAGCGAGAGAAAAGGTTGCTGATAGATTGAGATGATCGTAAGGCGTGTGAAATCTGCGGCCGTTCAGGTAAACGCCACCTCGACGAGGAGCATGATCAGAAAAGACTTTCAGAATTCAGGAACAAAATGCCAGCCGTCGAGGCTCACACATCCATATGCCGTCGTGACCGATTGCGAGTCATTTGGGGTTGATGGAAATATGCGATGGACCAGAAATCATAAATGATAGGGTTTAGAAAGTCAAGGATGCACCTATTGCACACAAGTCAATATGTTACGGACGGCGGACCGTCTCCGACCCGAGGATTCTTCCACTTTGATCTGCTTTGTTCTCGAATCAAGAACCCAAATCCATCAACGCGGCATAATATGCGAATCGTCCTGGATATACTTTAGGCAATTGTCACTGATCCATGTGATGCGTACGGTAGCGGGGTGGAAAATATACCATGAGACAAGGTGAGATCCAGTTCGCCTAGTTCCGGAGGGACACCGTTATTGCTGGTGGACAGACAGAAAGGACCAGCAGACGACCGTGATTCGATTGAAATCAATCACCGATTCCTGAACACGTAGAACAAACTGAGAATAGGTACCCTACGAGCTGAAAATACAGATTCAGGTCCGCTATCACCAAAGTATCAAAGCGAGATGTTCCACTTCTGAAGAACAATTTTAGGCATAAAAGATTTGATCCAGTTCCAGGATACCCTCCCGCGGAATGCCATGCGGAAAATAATCCTCATTGCGATGCGTGGGATGTCCCTGTCAAAGAACCGGAAAAAAACTCGAAGGAAGGTACAGATGCTACTCACGCTGGCATTGAATGAGAAATAGAATAAAGATGTGCCATCCCTTCTGATTGAGTGCTAGGATCTTCCCGGAGACAGCAAAGATCGGTATGATCCCGTTTTATCCCAAAGCGAAGAGAAAAATTGAAGCTAGAAGGTCCTTTATCTGCGCCATGTGAGGTATTCATTTGAGATAAAGTTTAAGAGCGTATGCATGGGGGAAAGTTTCAAGTGAGACAGGATCGAGGACGGCCTAACACACGGCAACAACAGAAAACGGCGTGAGCATGGCTGCCGGACAATCAGTCGGCCAAAGAAGATGTGGGAAATTGTGCAAGATAGTGAGGAAGAGAACAGTAAGATCGTGGTCGACGTCAGGCAGAAAAATAATAGGCTAAGAGAGGTCCTAAGGTAAATGAACGAAGGATTGAGAACAAGGTGCCTTGCGTGTTTGGCTTCCGGAATGAGTCGGCAACTATCCCGGCAATCATTGTTTGTCAAGAGTCTCAATGCAGCGGATTAGTTTTCTTCCCCTTGCGGCCACCATCGTTCGAAGTGGCTGGAATACCCCTTCCGGCTGCGGCCTCATTCATCATAGACACAATCTCTCGCCAGAAGAAAAGACACCTACTCAGTATTTTCAAGAAATAATGATTAAGACCACAGAGCCAAATGTGAGTTTAGCCGAGGATGTATTCTATCAGCTCGAAGGGTTGGGATAAATCCTATCTGTAGCCTGATTCTCCATGGTGTCCAGGTAGACTGTATCGGATGATCACCTCATGCTTGAATGAAATATAAATCAAGACGATAGAGCCAAGTACCAGCCGAAGATGTTTTTATGGCAGACGACCCTCACTTTCGCATTATGGTATGGCATCCAGTTATAAGTTCTGAATAGCACTTCGGACCATTTACCAAGTGCTACTCGTATCACATGAACATCGTGTTAGCAGCGTGCACAGGTGATTACGATCCATCCATGAAGACCCTTGTTAATTGATATACACAATGCGAGTGCCGTCGCACTTCCCGGCCTCTAATGGCAAACGGAACGACCCTTCTCCTCCACGTCGCGACTATTCAACTGCAGTCCCCACGGGAACTAGGACGCAAGGTATTACTGCCTTGCGCTGCGTAATCTTGCACTCTGATTAAGTGTTAGAAGCACTTTCTTGCACAAGATCAAGTTGAACATTAATCACCGTGAGCACGTGTATTTTGTCGTCACTTCTACCTCTCATATCCGCACGTAGACTCAAACGAATATACGGCCAACTGTAATTCGCCTCAAACACTGATGCATAGATGATGACCATGAATTGAAGGGGAACGCCTCTTCATTAAATTTCATTCCCGTGCACGGTGAGTCCCACCTCTCATTCTCACACGTTTTCCAGGACGAGACGGAGTAAATGGCAGGAGAAGGTCGTAATGACGTCGCTTATATTCATCACCTCAAGGTGACGCGCGAATCCGATATTACTCTGACGTTATTGGCGACCCCAGTCCATTCAAATTATATTGCCTGCCGCCTGAAATACACCGCCCGACTGTGCTCTCCCGATTGTCGGATGGTGAGAAATGATATCGACAGTTGCAGAAGCACCAGGGGTGCCTGGTTGCCCTGGGTTCGGGCCATGATGAACGAATGAACGAACGGACAACTCGTCTCTTCCTCCCGATACGGCGAAAACCGACATTATATCACTCATGGGGGAGCGGACGACCCTGTGGCGGAGACACGGGCGTGGCGGCAGGAAAGCGGGTTAGAATGTCGCAAGCGAGGGTTGCAGAGACAGAGAAGCACTGAGAGTGACTGACGTGGACGGGCGACATAATATAATGGTATTGTAGTGGCCATAGGACTACAGGATGATCAATAGGTATGTAGTCCGAATACGACATAAATTACTGATGATAGTAGCGAAAGGGTATTATAATGATATGATATTATCTGCAAATGAGTGAGTACGTGGTACAGAAAACGAGGAAAGGGAACGATAGTAGTAGTAGTAGGTAGTAGCCGAGGATAGCAAAGACGTTTTAGCGAGGACGTGACGATAGTTCGTGAAAAGCCAAAAATGGGTAGGATACGTATTCATTTTCAATCATGACTGATCTTCTTCTGGAGGTGGGGTTGGCTCGGAGGGGACGATGGTACCACGGACGGGGTCGTACCGTCCCGAGCGCCTCGGAGCTGTAGACGTAGACGTAGACGCGGCGGCGGGAGCAGGAGCAGTAGTAGGAGGTTCATCCAACGAATAAGAGTACCGCCTTGCGTGAACAGGAGATAGAACCGTTCCGCTCCCTGAACTCGGTCGTGCCCACGTCCCGCCAAACCTGGGTGGTCCCGCTTCGCGTTCCCCCGGACCCCATTGCACAGGTGGAGGGAGGATCCGTTCGGGGGATGGGGAGCGGTGATACGAGCGCGGTGGAAGTGGCGCCGGACTACCACCACCACGAAACTGCCCCGGGCTAGCACCACGGTAAGGACCCGGGCTCCTGGAGAACGGACTGGCACCGCGATATGATGCCGATGATGGGCGGGGGCTAGAGCCGCTTGGGAACGATAATGGAGGCAAAGTCCGTGAGTAGTCGATACGACGAGAGAGGGACGGGGGAGGGGGAGAAGGAGGGTAAGGCTCTTGGTGACGGGAGTATCGGAATGGGCTCTGTTGCGGTTGTTGCGGCTGGAAGGACCTCCCGGGCATGCCTGGTCCAAGGAGCGACGTCGAAGAAGGTTCAAAGTACGGGGGAGGCGGGGCAGGAGCAGGAGGATAGCCATAGTGAGGCGGGAAAGAAGGCGGGAGAGGATGAGAGGTAGAAGGGAACGGCCCGTATTGAGGCGGACGCGTCAATTGAATGTCGCTTTGGCTGCGTGGGCGCCGAGCTTTTTGGCGTTGGTTCTAAAGCAAGGTTAGACGGGATTAGTATCGAAGAAATGGGTAGTGCTTACTTGAAACCATATCTAAGCATAGATTAGTTTACGTTGAAGAAAAGAAAGGGTATTGCCACTCACTTGAACCTTCCTCGCACTCAGTCCAATGGACCTTCCCACTTCCTCCCTCATCGCTGTCGTAGGGAATCGTGACTGAAAGCCTATCAGCACCAACCCCAACATAGCCAGTAGCTACTCACCTGGGCCAAGAGAGCATGCAAAACTGCTGACTGGTGAGGCGTCGTAAGAGTGCGCGTGCGCTTCTTCTTCTGTGTCGGGGGCGGAGGCGTAGGGTTTTTCTCCGTATCACCCTCTGAGGAGCTCCCCACCGAGCGCCGGCGAAGGCGTTTCGACATTCGTTCCTCCGTCTCTGGTTCTGGTTCGGGATCTGGTTCTCGGCGGCGAGTTCGCGTGATACCGGTGCTCGTGCTCGCCTCAGGCTGTGGAGAAGGCGCGCGTCGACGTGAAGAAGAAGAGGGGTCGTGTGTTCGTGACGAAGTTGCGGTAGTTTGTCGAGTAGTGTTGTCTGTCGGCGGAGGCGATCGTTCCTCCCTCGACATCCAGGACACAAAAAAAGGGAATAAAAACTATTGACCAAGAAAGAGAAAAAGCAGAAAAGAGAAAACCGCCGACGAATTAAAAAAAAGGTAAGGATTTGTATACCCTCCTCAACACATCCTAGTCATCGGGGAAGGGAGAATGGAAAAAAAAGAGAAAGCCAGGGTAAGCGTTCAGATCAACGACGAAATTACATTAATGGTAACAGCACCCGCGGGACCTAGAGCCGAATTTTATCGCCACCCTGTCCCTTGGCCCTTCACGTCATAACCCAATCTCGGATTGAGTTGCGATCGGTAACATTTATTGTTGTACCTCGATGTGGGAAGTATACGCTTTGTTGGCGAGTATGGTCCCGTAAGGTTAAATTTATGAAAAAGGGTTCTTCCCCGAGTGCTCCGACGGTTGCGCGCAGTCCTGTGATAGCAACCAACAGAAGGGTGGGAAGAAGGGGGCAAAAAAAGGACCACTCACACGTCACGGCATTGACATTGATGTGTGACATACACCAACGACGACGAAGTTTAAGGGCCCAGGGAGGAACTTTCCAGAAATGGATTCCTGGCTTGCCCTTGTTGCGGGTGTAGCATACGAGAGCTCACGTCCATAGCTGAAGAAGAAAAAATGGAAGAACCGTCTCCATGTCCCAACTCAGACCATAAAAATTCTCCGGTTTTTGGTTTTGCATTCCGTCATCCGGCATTTGTGGGTACCCTGGCTCGACGCCACCGATGATTGCATGACGACGATGCTCGGACGGGTTTATTTAATAACGGGTGTCAATTGAAGCGACTATTAAATGTATAATGGAATACCCAAGACATTACACCTCCCCTTCTCAATAACGGCGCAAGACCTCCCCCGGAGACAACGTACGCATTAATGAGATATGTTACGCTTTACTCACCGGTCGTCATGGGAAGCCATTGAACCTAGGCCCCGCCACACCTACTCGCGATGGGGGCTGACATTGCAAATCTCCCTCGCAACGTTGACATCTCCCCCCGCTCTAGCCCCCCCGCTCCCCCCGATATGTTTTCGATCATCTCGGAGGAAGACGCTCTAGGATTGAGCGGGGGGAAGGGTTCATAAACATTAACGTTAAAGGTTAATAGAGACCATAAAGGGGGGAAGTGCGCAGAGGGGGGTATTTAATTATGATAATCGTCGGGCGGGAGGAGGATATTGCCAGTGTCGTGTCAATCCTGGGTTATTAGAGGGATCGGCGAAAGACGCCTCCGAGGTTCAACCCTTCATGAAATGAGTAATGAGTGTGCGATTGTCGAGCTTAAAACCTACAAGGGGGCAGTAAGTTGATGTGATCGTAAACGTGGGCGATTTTCATTGCCGGAGATGACTTGGAGGGGTTAATGAAGAGGGAAAAGCTTACCTTTTTTAAAGAAGACACCGCGACAAAAGAAATTTGACGTAAGGGCGGTGAATTCGACGGAAAATCACAACGCTATGAATGATTAATTGATTTCGAAAGCCTTGGAAGAAACCCTACCATGCATGGGAAGGCCTGCACAACTCCATGGATTGATCGAAAACGCGTTTGGGAGGAAGGAGCACGAGATCCGTTACGATCACCGTGGGCGAATACGATGTTTTGACATGACGCGTCAGTTGAGGACCCTCATCTTATCTTTACGATCGTAAACGTGTTTCAGAACAGGAGAGAGGGTTGCGCTTTTTTATGAGACGGTCCAGCCCTCGATCAGGATGATCGTGATGAAAACTACGCATTGAGAGATAAGAAAGAGGGAGGATGAACGCGACATGGTTGGGAGGAACATTGGATGATCGACCGGCAACGTGGAACGTGAAACGCCGGGAGCCAATATTTAGGAGAGACGCGTCAGAAAATGCGGAAAAGAGGGTTAGGGTTTCAAGAAAATCATTTCACACGTTAAAAACAATCATGAGAATGTAGAAAGCGCCCAAGCATTGACGCCTCCGAAGTCATCGACGAGCTGAGGGCAGAAGAGGAAGGACCGGCAAACTCCGAATCTGAGCGCCCAGCCAAGCAAGACTAACTTTCCTTTCTACTCCCAACTGTGACGCAGAAACTCCTCAGATTCCTGATGGATTGATACTGCCACCGCTCTGCGAACTCTAAATCTAATTCTGCGCATTCACATCCACTTCGTTCTCCAAATGGACCGATGAAACGCTGAGTCAGAAAACACGAGGAGGGGGAATTGCAACCGCGGTAGATACCGCTGCTATGCAGGCCAAATTGAAAGTAATTAACCTGGGATGGTTGGTATCTTCGTTCAAAATGAAGCCATAATGGACCCCCGTCACTACGTTTCGCCTCGATAATTGAATCCCTGCGCCACACGTCGTACAAAGGTAGCGCCGATGCTCGCAGAGAGGCGATGATTTTCTGACCCAGGGTGAGTGCGTCTGCAAAATACCAATACTCGCTGCTAAAGTCGACGAAGACAAGGCATACGGATGCGAGTTCGAACGCTCAGTGCAGGCATGGATTATCTGCGCCCGCTCTGGCCGCTGTTTACCTCGTCCTGGCAATAAATGCATAAAACTCTGCTCAGCTACTCCTAGTCTCCTTAACCATGAAACTATATACATCCGGCGTAGCTCTCGTCACTGGTGCTGGTCAGGGTATCGGCAAAGCCACCGCCCTCTCCTTTGCAGAATCCGGCGTCCGTGGGCTAGTCCTTGCTGGGCGAACACCCGCCCCCCTCCACGCTACCGCCATCGAATGCAAAGCCATCGCCGAGAACCCCGAATTTGATGTCCTCATCGTCCCCACCGATATCAGCATCGAGGAATCCGTCAAGAACCTCATGAAAACTGCCGTAGACCACTTCGGACGAGTTGATTACTGTGCGAACGTCGGCGGAGTCAGTTGGCCTCTTTCTCTTCTCTCTCACAACCCAAGCCTTACGTTCTTTTATAGACGATGGGAACCAAGATGAAGTTCTCCTCTATACCCACCGAAGATTGGCTTGCTATCCAGCAGACGAATATTAACGGCATCTTCTGGCTTGTACGAGAGCAAATTAGTGTCATGGAGAAGCAAGAACGACTGGTCACGCCTATCACCTCTCCCAAGCGTCCGGCCGAGCGCGGGAGTATCGTCGTGCTCAGTGCAGCGGCAGCAGTGATAGCCTTGCCTGACGGAGGAGCTTATACACACACGAAATTTGCAACAAACGGCTTGACGAAAGCTGCCGGTTCGTCTATTTCCCCCCTCTTCCTTCCTTTTTACTAAAACACCTTTTTCTCTCAGCGCAAGACCACGCCTCGAACGGTATCCGTATCAACGCCATTCTCCCCGGGTACATCTACACCGAAGGACTGGCCTCTCACCCTGCAGCCACACCAGAAGCTGCCAAGCGGATCGTCGACGGGTGCCCTCTCGGACGCTTCGGCGAAGCAGGCGAGATTGGAGACCTCATCGTCATGATGAGCTCACCACGGAACGGCTTCATGATAGGGAGCAGCGTCTTAGTTGATGGCGGGCAGACGTTGAGCGGGGAGTAGATTCCTGCAATGCAATTGTTCTTTCTTTGCTCTGCTGCCTGATGTCTGTGTGAACTTTCGATACGGGACCTGAGGTACCGCGCGACGAAGGGCCAGACCATACGACCTCGAGCCGAAACGTCACAATTTAATCGTGGCCTTATCACTGGGGGAGAGTCCTGTCCAGGCAGTGATTCATTGCGGCAAGGCTATCATTTCTCGCAGATATTCCGTTCTCTACCTGCCGCCTGCGGCCTCCTCTTGATATATCAAGGCTATTACCGAATAGCTTGCTACCGCATGGCCCAATCTTCCTTCCAGTAACTGGGAGCGGTTGGCCCAGAAGGGGGTAACCTGTCATATATCCACCTCGACGTTCTATATGTTCAGAAGCTCTGTCACCATAAGCATCTTTTCACGCGTGGTCTTCATAGCCTTCAGAGGGAAAAAGGCACAAATATCTGGATTCCAACAAAGAACACTGAGAATTCGTCGTCTGTCTACGACAAACCTTTCCGTCAATTCTGTTCACCATTCTTGCGTCATCTTCCATTTCCTACGTGACGTGTTGGTACGCTACTTAATGCATGATTCCTGTTGCACCATTCAGAACTAAAGGAACATCTGAGCCCACACCCCTTCAGTCGACCAACCGACCTACAAACCCCGTCCGTCCAATACCGAAACAAGTTCTGCGTTCTTTACTTCTTCGTTTCTCGACCGCATCTCGGGTGATCGTCAACGTGAGCCAGGTCGTTTTGAACTACCCTTTATTTTTACTAAACTGCGCGTAGCTAGGTATTACTCTTCAGAAGGAAGGTACATGTTGCTGTCGGTCGATTGCACTTCGAGACTTCGCTCGATACATGGAGAACGCGGACACAGAGATGCATAAGGTTCCGGTACTCGTCCACCACCGACATATGGTGATGGAAGGCAGGAATGATCATCGCATACCATGTCGACGAGGAATTGATGGCGAGCCAGAGGTCTTCTTAGCCCAAATATTGCACGGATCTTGGTTGCTGGACGTCCGGCCCTTCTCATGGGCATCAAATTGAAAACATCCGCTCCGTTCTATCAATTCATCGAGACACAGTCCCTGCATCTAATGGTGATTACTTTGTGTATACTACCTGACGTCCTATTCAAATGCCTGTATCTTTCCTCGCTACTTCTGGTAACTCTCAATGTCTGCGTATGGCTTCCGAATCCCGACTTCGCCTAGCACCCTGTTGAATATCGTGCTTCTGTTTAATTTACGTGCATCGATAATCAAAAGTTGCCCCAGAAACGGCGGATGCGTACGTTTTGATAGAAACCGGAAGCTACGACAACGAAAAAATGATCTGTGTTGCTGGAGATCATCATCGCCCCAGATTAACAACCGTGCGGTCAACCCTGAGCTGATTGATGGAACGCGGGGCTCTGTTGCTGCGAGAGACCCGGAATAGATGGTGAGCAGTCTGAAACGACATTGTGGACGACCCGATGACTTTGCGTCCCAGCGAATGACAACAGAAATTGTACTTTATATCAGAAGGATAATATATTCCTTGACTGCGAGGCCAGTCCCGTTGTCAGCGGAGGCTACGGCTCTACTCCAGACTCCTTATCCTTTGGCCCTTTCCATATGCTCAAGGAGTCAGAGTCTCCACTATAAAAACGTACACAGTTCCTCTTCGTACCTCTCGAGCACCCTCATAGGGCTGGTACACAGAACTCGTGTCGAAGCAAAGAGGAAAGATCGTGGAACGTCGTCTTCAAGACAGGTTAGATGACAAGACAGGAAAGACATGAAGTCAGACGACTTCTCACTGAACACGAGAGTAAGTTCCCTCACTCAATTTTAAGATTTTCGGCGACACCATCACCGACGCATGGATTACACAGGTTGAACTGCGCAGGCGCGTCTGCTCTCGATTTCTAGGAGGATTTTTTCACAGACGAAATCTTGCTCGTCTACCTCGTAGATGATCTTGGCCAGCAGTAGTATCCTCAGTAATTGGTTCCGTGAATACCACGTCATTCATCGCAACATTCCGGCAGCTGGGAGATTCGACGTTGGCGTACGTATGGACTCTCAAGCGATCGGGCGGAGTTAGGTCGGCATTCGCATCCGGTGAGCGGTTTCGCGGGAAGAGAATTAATTCTTATTCACGGGAGGAAGAGGAATCCGGGGGGTGGTTGAGATGCAACCTCCTCCTTGGCATTGGGTATGTGATGTCACATCAGCCCAAGTCCAGAAACACGATGTCACAAACGACGTTGGCTATTCTTCAGAAGATCAATCTACTTATCACCGCTTCACAAGAACTATTGAAGAGCGAGTTGAGTATTCTTTTCGTTCGATAAAGAGTAAACCGCTGGATGCCGAGCGAAGCTAGAAGGAAAATGCCACCATCCAGAAAACCCACCAGTAGTCACGGCTTTATGGATGTAGACTCTAATTGTTCGCGAAAATAGACTATCTCCATCGCAAAGTCTCTGGAACGTATGGTCGAGCATCTTGGGCATCTCTTCCGTAATAGTCATAAACCGAGAGAGGAAATGCGGGCTCGATAGACTACTGAGGGAGCCTTTTATATCGTGTAGTAGATAATTAAAATATGATTTCATCCTGCTAAACTGAAAACCCGTAAATGTCACAGCGTCGCGTTCCAAAAAGCTGCGCGGGTAAGATCGCGTACGTTTTGTCCATTTTCCACATCCCCAGTTGCAACCGAATTACAACACGGAGAGTATGTCGCAAGGACAATATGATCTGAAATGGTGATAATAGCAAAGGTAGTTTCGTTAGATAGTGAGCCTGCCAGCTAAGAGACTCGTTCGAAAGAGAGGATGATGGATTTGGAGAAGCTAAGTCAAGCCGACCGGTTGCGAACCACTCGCGTCCCCCGGTGGACCGTACCGTGTAATAATCCCTACCTACTTGACCATATGGCGTTATCCTCAACTTTACATTTGTTCAACGAAAAAATAAGCTACGTTTCTTTTGCTCCGAACACATTCACAAGTAACATTGTTATGACGAGAAATTAGTCTAGATACATCTTGAAGGAACTACCCACTTCAATAGTCAATACAAATAGTTCTCACCGAGTTCCCGGAGTCCTGGCTCCAGTTCCACGGTCTCGTAATTCATCTACACTTGAGTACGTTACTTAGTATCTCTTATGCATATTGATGTATAAGAGATAGCGTTCCGGAAGCTATAATCTACCTAACTCTATTCCTTTTGTATTTTACCAACATTTTCTAGAGAACTGGAAGTATCTATGGCGGAAGCCTCGTTCTTCGATTGAAATGTGGGCATGTCTGTTTTCAATCGGTCTGATTTTTATCAGCAGGAAGTTAGAATATTCTTGAGCCGTATTGCATAAAGACCCTTATCGATTGAGTTTCGATGAGGTTAACTTGTAGTGTGCGACATGGCGATAGCCAATACGAATGTTGTTTCAGGTATATCCAGTAGCGGAGGATTTGTTATGTCCGAAGGAGGATAATATCTGTATCTTCTAGGCCTACGCACAGTCGAATTCTACAATGTATGTACATTTTCTTATTAGTCTTTGTCTCCACCAATACAGTCATTCTATTCATTCGCACTCTTATCTCGTAGGTGATCATGCATACCTGTGGCCATCATAATTGAATGAGTTATCGTTTCATTTCTCCAATAGCATGTACGTTATTCCCCTCACTTACATTATCTCGTTTTTGATGAATCGGCATTTTGATCATGTGTGCTCCCTCCACACCGAGGCGATGACGGGAAACCTGCGGATGCCATGGTTTACTATCCCAAAAACGGAACATAGATTCATAGGGATGAGAACCAATCATTCCTGAAAGCAAGACGATCCCCTGTTTAAATTTTCGAGTCAGAGACTGGAGTATAAAGCCGTGCTTATCGTTTCACCCAAGCTAGCTTCTGTGGCAAAGAGTAGTCGTACGGTGTAGATCCGTTTAACCTTCGCATTCTCCACTGTAAAACATGCGGCTGGGGTTGTATCCATTCATTCTATGCTTAGGTTGTTTCTATGGCATCGATGTGGAAGACCTAGCTTCCTCATTCCATTTTGCGAACGAGGTCTTTTTCAGTGTTCGCCGCCTAACCAAACATTGTATTTATTCATTTACGGTATGGCCTTTCGATCTCATACTATACTAGTCCCCTTTGGAGAGAAATGTACAGTCATGCATCCTGGTGTTTCGTTAAACTGCTGCCGCGAAGTAAATTGTCAATTGTCCATCTGATCTCGCCGGGGTCATTCCTTGGGAGTCGCTAACGTGATAACACAGGGTCACCATGAACAGCTTCCAGGAGGACATCACAACTCTCACTTTCTCGCAATCTTCTGCTGTCTTTGATGGACTGTAAGCATGCTGCATTGATTACAACACATATCCCGGAATCCCCGAGGAAGGGCGGTGCATTCACATCACCGGTGGTTCCACCAACAGTATACATCGAATTTGGTGAATATAAACGGTTACAGAGAAATTATGGTTTACCTCTACTTTAGGAATTAGTTCGTAATTCTCCTCCCACCAGCCCCGCGCGTTTTCTATTAACGTTACACCTTTCTTACCGAGAATTCAGTCCTTCCGTTTGAACATCATACTTGCACTTATCCTGAGGTGCTGCAAGAAGCTAATACCACGTCATTTCTGTTTTTATATTAAAGAGAAGTGGAGAAATCCAGTAAGTGATTCCGGATTCTGAAAGAATTAAGGTGCTTAGCGCCATTTTTGAACCGTGGCGTTGCCATCATCAATGTGCAAAGGCTGTGTCTTTATATTGCGCCCGCCGCCTCGGTAGGAGGGACAGCGTTTTCCTCACCATTCGTCATTCATAAGATTCCTTGTTCTTCAAAACTTCAAATTATCCGTTCTCTCCTGGATCCTTGTCCGGCGAGGCAGGCGACTTGGGTTCCGGCTGCCTGTCCACGTTCCAAACCCAGGTTCTCCCCTCGACGACTTATGGAAGTCACCTTTCCATCCCAGTCTTATGAAAGGACATGAAAAAACTAGTGGACATATCGCGTTATCATAATAATATTGCGAAACATAGCAATAACAGAAATCTGCCTACAGCTACTGAAGGACCTCGATCAAGACAATCTCAGCCCACCATCTCGTCTTCGACGGATCCTCTGTATACAACGATCCTAATCTCAGATTGTTTACATTCATCACGATAGGTGTCATTGTCGCTGTCCGACCAGGCGAGATGTTCTCCGCTTCCCTCTAGTATTCCCAATGAGGCAAACAAGAACTTATCGAGGACGAAACAGACTCACCGTAAATATATCACGATAACCAGCCGAAACACTATACGCCAACTCATAGAACGTCATTCCCGAACGGTGTTTGCACATCAAGGGAATACGTATATATTGCGGAAGGTAGCCGCTGGCCTAGAATTCATCAGTTCCAGCGAGACTCAAGATAGGAAGGAGACGACGCTACATGAAAGACGACATCAATGCACTCCACTCCAACCAATGCAATTGGGTACGCCTCTGGAGTCCATGACCGGTCTCCCTGCAAGACTTGCAGCATGCTAGCCCACCCAAAGTCAATTCTGTACAGCAGATGGTCGAACATAGGCCTGGGGAAAGTGTACTTGACGCGGCCGGAAGCTTTGAAGCTAAGACAACTGCTCGTTATCTGCGTGGTGGTGTCTTTAGAACGGATAGAGGGAAGGGCAAAGTGGGATATCGCACAGGCATCGGATCTATACATATGTAGAAAGGCTGGTAGAGCGTGAATTTCTTGGCAATGCAATCTGGAATACATGGTTTGTCCTAGACGAGGAAGTGAGCACTAGTCCGTCCAAAATACTAAAATGTAGCTTACGCGTGTACCATGACTGACGAGCTGAATGATATTCCGCGGATCCTAAATGCAGTCGGCTATCGATGTTACAGAGGTTCGTGATGGATAATCTTACTGGTTGTTCTAGTCCGTAGGTTGCCATCTGGGAGTCAGCTTGTCAGAGGATGTGCTCGGCGGGCATGTTGTGGGACTCACAAGTAAATCGTGGTTAGGCTGAGAGGCCCGCTCTCTTTCTGGATTTTGCGGTGGCATTTCTGACGGCAAGTCATTCTACACCTCGATAAGGACGTGCGAAGCTTATGCATGAACGGACGGACGTACCGAAGGGTAACTGTAAATATATGACATGATGGAAGAAACAACGACAAAAATTAACCGCCTCCTCAGAAATTGAGTTCTTTATAACATAAAAAAGACCATCGGGTGGCAGGATCATAAATGTTGGACAATGAAACCATGCCGGACAAAGCGTACGATTTGACAAGACCGTCGATGTTCAAAAACAATACGATGTCCCCAGAATGAGCGGATCATCTATCACAGATATCTTTACACAACAGCACAACATTGTGTGTCGGGCTTGAGACTTGATATACATCCAATGTATGCGGTTCTGCTCGCCCGCGTGATCTGGTGAACAGATTGCAACAGTTACAAGGGATGCGGAAGAAAGGAGGATAAAAATGGACATGCGTATTTGCGTTAGAATGTAATGCAGATATTTCCAACAAAAAGCCATTGAAGCCCGAAGATGTCTTCCATGTCGAGGATAGCTGAATGTTAATAAACTGGAAAGATGGGGGCAAAGACTAGGCAAAGACCACCTGACATATAAGAGGGATTACTTCATTCATCGGAATGTTAGAAATCATAGAAAGCTAGGGCTCCAACCATTTAGTTTATGTTTGACGGGTCAAATAAAATAAATGGAAACGGTTCGAAAACAGTTTATAAACTATTTCCAAACAGTTTACAAATGGTATTTAGCACGTGACTGCCAATAAGTAGTATAATCATAGTATAATACAGAAAAGCATACTGTAATATTCCATCTCCTTAAATCTATGTGACTGAGCCTCACAGTGGAACAGATATGGTACAATTTGGAAGAAAGGAATGATGCAGGTTGTCCGCAAGCACGTCAAAATGAAGCGGAGGTTGCCGAGGCATAGATTAGTCAGCAAATATTCTTTAACTTCAGCCCCTCCCGAGTCGAAGTCCTTTGGCAGACAATGTATACAGTAGTATCAATGGATAATTCATTCATTAGTTTCAAATTCAATAGAGAACCATTTACTGTTTGTTTATCCTTTGCCTCTAGATTTAAACTTAAATGGTTTAAACCATTTATATTTATGTTTAAAAACAGTTTTTAAACTAAATGGTTGGAGCCCTATCTAAAAAAGCTAGCTAACCGAAGAAATTGGAGTCGTCGAGATATACACGTGAGAGGGGACACAGTCAGCAGAATTGATGCGGAGCTTCAAAAAGTTGCTGACTGTGGTAGTCTTCACCGCGGGAGTTCTAACTCCGACAAGCATGTCGGCATCTGCTTCCTGCCTTTTACTTGTGTTCCGATGATCTAGTCGTACCAATTGAAAGCCGCAACGCCCACCAAAAGACAAACGAGCGTCTAAATTAAATTCTTCTGTACGTAGACCAGCTTTGGCCAGCTTGCCGATGCCTCGAAGTACTCGTAAGCTAGAACTCTTTTTTCAGCCGTGGGACTTTACGCTCCGCTTCTTTCAGGGCATCCCTACATCAAACCACCTCTGTCTAGGTATTAATATGCTCGTAGCTCGTTGCCTTCGGACCTCAGGATGACACGTGCTATCAGAAGTGATGCCGAAATCCTATTTTTCTTCCTTCCCAGTTTATAGCTGACCGTAATGACATAGAAAGCTTGGATACTCAACGGACATGGAAGACGCGAAGCTTTTGGCTTCCCTGCAGGTGTTTTCTATCCGTCGAATGTCATAGGTGATTAACCCAGGGGAAATGTGACTGACATCAATCCTGACAGATGCATGCTGATAACATATATGCGGCGCTGATTGGAAGACATGTGAACTTGTCCCACCTTGATCTGAGCTTGACGTGACATCATCTGTAGCATTCCGGATTTTACGGATCGAGTGGCGCAAACATAATTCATTAAGATATATAGGCGCGGCTGGAAGAAAGTGCTGTGACTGGGCGGCACCGCACCTAACAACGAGGCCGCGCCGAATGTCGGGAATACGCTTACTCGGCCGTCGGTTGGATACGTCCCTGGTAAGCCACCGTTACGAAATGAAGGTGTGTTATCAGCGTTCATGGTGAGGCCAGGCAGGGTCTAATCGGCTATCAGAATTTGAGAATCTATCGTACGTGATGCCATCGTCAGGGAAAAAAACGCCAACTGTGGTCCTGACGCGACGTCGCTAGATGTTGGTTCCTCGCACCGGGCTATAAGGCGACGTTATGCAAATAATCAGAACTTCCATTCCTCACGATATGTATTGAAATGATATATTGTGATAGCTCCTCAATGTTTTTGGTTCTTTGTTACCCCCCAAGTCCCACCATTCAATCGTCTTAATGAAATTATAGACTGTGATGGCGTGCTGTTTCCCTCGCATTGATACGACAGTGGAGGAATTCTGGTCATTTTCTGGTCTGTTTACTATAAGCATCGGCCCCACGGAAGACACCTGATGTACTTTTAACCCCCCAAACACTGTGTACAGCTGCAGATTTCCACAGCCTTTTCATTCAATCATGTAGCCGGAACGTGTTCGACCGGACCTATCGTGCAAGCTCGTCGGCATTGTCAGAAGAAATCGTTAAGCACGTGATAATAGCATTTGATTCTGCTAGTGATCCGGATGTCGAGTCGGTGGTCCAGGTCTCTGAGTGCCAAACTTCAATATTGAGGAGGATCTCTAGCTATACATTCCGCATCTATACCCCACTAATACAGACATCAAGTCTTTAGTATGCGTCTAGCTATCTACCAAGAAATACTCAATCTCAGTGATAGATCTATCTCGCGCCATCCGGTGTTTAGGATTTCGGTCAGAGATACGTTCACGATGGCGTGCTAAGTTTGTTCACTCATAAGAAACAATGCAAGCAGATAGAAATAACTCGCTCTATTGCGGTCGTGTAGATGACTTACTAAGAATGTCCTGCGGCGCTGAATAAAAAATATCAAGAAGCGAAGATAGATAAACCGTACAACGGGACATCTCTACTCAGGTAAACCTTTCAATTATTGTGACCATTAATCCCGAAACTGAAAAACCACATCCAACTGCAAGCTTCTCGTACACGAATCGACATAGGAAATCCCGTCGTCTGTCATGATCCCTTATATGGTGGGGGACGTTCGGGCTACAAGGTTATGAAGTGAGCTATGTTGAGGGACTGGGAGCGTACTGCCAAGCAATGACCCCAATAGGTAATGGATTTAAAGGACGTGATGTGGTAGAAAGGTGGGCACGGGTTATTTAGTTGTCGGTTTCATACACTCACGAATACAGTCGAGATGGTAGGAAACATATTCAGTTAAGAGCAGAAGCCTGCCATCTGAAGCGTTTCTCTATCAAATCCTTGCGACCTAGGTGCGTCTATCAATCCAAGCATCTCACGATGATTAAAATAAAAACTCACTAGACTGTCTGTCGAGGCACTAGCAGAGGCACCATCCAAGAGTAGCTTCTAGATATTCGTCGTAGCGTCCTTTCCCTTGTCGGGAGTCGTTCACCCGATCCCAACTACGTTGGCATGTGTGTACAGCGGATTGATTGATCTCAGGTAAAGCCAGTTGACAGCGTGTTTCTTCTCTGAGCCTGGAGCGCGACAGAACTGGATATGCGATCCGGAATCAGAAAAATGTTTGGGCCCGTGAAATACATTGACACTTCTGCAAACAAGGGGTACGGCAACATCATTAAAGAGGGTGTATGGCAAACGGCGAGTTCTGTGATCGGCTACTACCGTACATCAGACTGAAAATAAATGTTATCATCAGCAGGGACGTGTCCTACCTCAAAGATGGTGTTCTCTAATAGTTACGAGGTAAGCGTAACATGGGATTTGACATGAGAATAAGGATCTATGTGGGTTATAATCGAAGACGAACCCCGGACCGGTCTTCCGTGCTTGCGCAGGTATCGCGCTACCGAAAAAAATGTCCACCTATCCACCCCTCTCTCGTCCAGGATCAACTGATGCGAGAATGATGGGGAGGCACGATGACCGAGGAGAAGGTTAGCAAAGAGACGATTGTCGTGATTACAAGAGATTAGGGAAACGCTCACACATATGGGTTCGCAAGCGCGTAAAATTCGATCCTATACAGCCGCGCACGTGTTTAATTCCATAAGACATGCAATGATATCCTCCCTTATTTACCAGAGACGTTTGGAACTGATAATCAGCCTTGTCAGTCCAACATGTGATGAAATCAGAGGTGGAGGAGGTTACCGGGGGTCGATCTAGTCCGAGGTGAATGTATAAAGATCACGGCCAAATAGGTTAGCCGGAGCTGTTGTATAACTGAAAAAGAAGCGTTCAAAAAAAGAAAACGGCGGCGACATTTCAGGTCTAGTGTTCCAAAAGTGAAATGCCCAAAAATCTTCGAGCGGAAACAAAGGACATACTATTGTGACGGGAACAGGAAGATGTTTCGTTTTTCCGGAGTAGAGCCATCCTAATCTTTCTATGGTCTATTGAATAGGAATCCGTCCATTCTAGATTGAATGAGTCAATTTACGTCTCAGAGAAACGCAACGGACAAATACGTACTTTATGTGAATCTCAGGCGCCCGTATTATGGCATGGATAGGGTCAACGATCTGAATCAGGAACACGATGCGCATGTCTTTCAGATATTTGGAGTATTCAGACGCTGACGAGAGGTCAGTAAGAATACAAGAACGTGCCATGAATATCGCAGAGAATCAAACGGCATTGCGGAGCTCGCAGTCAGAATGCTATCGAAGGACATTATTATGAGTTGTTGGGTCAGCTTTGATGGGGAAATTCGGCCTTCTAGAATGAAGTGTGGTGGAATAAGGGTTCTTAGTTTCGTAAGTCCACCACGTCAACTTCAAGAAGAAAAGGAGACGAATCTGACCTAAGAATAGCCTCGCGTACCTTGTCGTTCGTTCGAGAAAGTTTTGGATGAAAGTTCAAGCTCCAGCTCAAGATTCTTGTCAAGATTGATATGCCAAACACTTTGAAGGGATGGCCGGAGACGTATGGAAGAAACGGCGTCACAGGTTTCACGGCATATCGGCATCGCCGTCCCGACTTCCACCGAAGCCTTTGGCAAATAAACATTGTTCTCTTTTGATCTGTCACTCGCCTTTCTAAGGTGTCTTTTTCACTGTCTGTTTAGTGCTCTCATTTCAGCTGGATTGGATTATTAAGAAACATCGACGCACAATCTACATCTCTCTTCGCATTATCTTTATCTCGATCCACTTTGCTGCATTAACTGGGAGGAGATGATTTTTATCTTTCATACAACTTGCAGGCTTCGACAATAATTCTTAACTTTCGGGTAGGATATCTAACATGGCTCAGCTTCATCGGCCGTTTCTATATTTTTGGATCAACCAATGCGGAATCTTTGTTATCTCGGAATCTGACTTCCTGGACAGCAAGAAAGAAATGCTCCCGATGTTCTTGTGGCGTAGACTGGCAGACTCTCT